TAAAGACAATAGATCCAACTAAATACCCCACCAGGGTTATCGTTGCCTTATTACAGTAAGGGTGTTGCGGCCAGGGCACGTCTTGCCGCTCGGGAAAGTTTCAGGGAACACAACCCTACTTCCCATTCATTTACGCCTTCCTACCAGATTGTCTGGATTATTCCAGGGAATGATTACCCAGCTTTTTCCCTGAATTTCCCTTCTGAGCGGGCGGAGGATACGGAATACATAGCACTTGACTGAGACGGGAAAAGCCGCGAAAAGCCAACTCCGGGAAACTTTTTCCCAATACCGCAAAGTTCTCTCGAAGGCAAATACCCTTTCCAGCAACTAGCAGATACGTTCCCCCTATAGCGTCGCCGTGAGACAAAAATCAACAATGGAAAATAATATCCCAGATCCCAAATACGACACCTTGCTCCTAGCGGACAAGCAGAAGGCCCCCCCCCCCTTTACGCCTACCAGCAGCCAACCTTAGTCCTCCCCACGGGATGTCCGCCAAAGTAGGCGGCTGTCTGGTTGCGGCATAGATGTCACACCAGTGGTCGTACGACTAAATTATGACGAGTGGTTTCCTATATGAAGAGAGTTCTCCAGTGAATATATCAGCGCAAAAGATTTCTATAGAAGGGAATTCTATTTATATTCTACCGAATTAGCGTTATTGTCATGCTGGGAAAACGGTAAAGAATGAGAGAAAAGTCTCACCGCATTGAAAGGCGATAGCTGTGGTGAGCAATTTGATATTCGGAACATCATTTTTGGTGGGAGATGTTCAAGAAATCCTATGGTCTCCGAAATCGAAGCATTTCATTCGTTGTCTAGAACATAATGGGGGTACTGGGCGCAAGGGAGAAAGGGACCTGTTTTTGAGAACACTTCTTTCTTGTCGTCGACTTTTCGCACCCGCCAATGCTTTTTCATGGTGAGCGGCTACAAAAGCTTTTATTTTCTGATTGCTTAGGAAGGTTCACACAACAGAGCCTCCTATCGTTCGATGTCGAAATTTCGAGGAACATTGGGAATATGGTAGGTGGTATAGGAAAGGTGTTGGCTCACAATTCACAGTGTGATGATTTACCCTGTTGAGGTGGAGCAGCGTTAAGGTGCTGACATATTGTCTTGAATATTATATAGTACGTCCTCGGCTTCTTCCTAGTTGATTGATCCAACTGCTATCGGTGCGTTTCACACCAGGAACTCCAACGGTCTTGGTCTCTTGAAGTAGTAGCCCATACCCATCTTCAGGTTGGTTTACCCTTTCTGGGTCGGAACTTCAAACGTCCACCGACTGAGATAATCTAGCATGATTGTGAGGCAGGGCAAATCGTGTCACAGCGAGAGTCAGGTTTTCTTCTATTTCTTACCAGAACTCGAAATCATTTATGAGCCTTAGGGAACGAATAGAAATGGAAAGAAAAGAAGCAAATGTAGGTGGTGGTAAGTAGTAGTAGTAGTACGATATCGATGGGACCTTTTCACTTCATTTGGCTCACCATTGTCCTATCCTAGTGAAAGTAACATGGCGAGAATACGCAGAAAGCGCGAGAGAACATTATGCAATGGAGCCGCCATACACGGCTTAAGTTCACGCGTGAAGTTCAGGCCGTTGGGTAGACTCTGTGAGGATACATAGTGTCTCGGACGCCATCTCTGGCCTACCCGTGCGAGAGGAGTCGGGCAAGTGGACGCCAGGCTGAGGCTCGACCGCTTCGTTTGCGTTTTCACAATTTGTCAGCGTCCACCAGCGATCACCAGCAGCTTCTCAAGTGTCCGATAGCGTCGGCGAATAAGAAAGCAGAGGTATCGGTCTAGGCCTGCCAGCGTCCAGCAGCGTCCACCAGCGATCATCAAAATGTCGAGGAGCTAGCAAAGTATGGATATCGATATCACGTATGCCAGCGTCTACCAGCGCCCAAAACGCCCACCAGCGACAAGAAGTACAGTACTGTGCAATATCACGGTGCGGTTGCACACGCCACAGCTTAAAGGCACATTCCGCGAAAAAAAAGGCTGTGACCTCTCAAATGTGTCGGACGACCCGGGAGGCGATTCTTGAGGCTGCGCTACTTTCAAAATATGAAAAACGGCAAGAACTCCGCTAGAAGCTGGCTAATTAGGCCCATGGACACCCCTTAGGCCCATGCCGACCCTCACCGGCTGCTAGCTACTAGCTAGTAGCCACTATGTATCTTATCTATTAACATATTTCAGGCTTGCTTTTACCTGCTGGCTTTTCTCCGCTAATACAGATACTTAGGCACTTTTTTGTGCTATTTGAGTTCCGTTTCGCCCTGCACATTTTGTGGTCGCGACTGTGGCCTTTATTCCATGCCTCCTCCCTTACTTCCCCATACTCTACCATCAGTCTGCTACCCTCCTACTCCCCATGCTCTTTACTCCTGGTCGCTGACGGACGCTGCTAGACCCTAGATCGCTATCCAGGAGACGCTGGTGGACGGTGACGTTCGATAGATCTATACTTTCTAAGACGGTGACGCTGACGGACTCGAAAGGCTGACTAGTGGACGGTGCCGCGAAGTATGATCGCTACCTCATAAGCTGCCGCGTGAACACTGATGCGAGCCCGCATATTGTGAAGAAAGCTGATTGTGAAGCTTTTAGTGGCTTCACGTGGAGCACAACAGACTTCCAGTAGAAAGCATGTCTGGGATCAAATTCGTCATTTTCGCTCCCCTCAAACCAATTTTGAACCGGAAGGAGAGAAAACAAAGTGATCTACATGAGGTGATTTCTCACATTAGATTCACTGGTGTAAAAATTACCAATTGATTGCAAATTTATTGACGAAGAACACCCAATCAGAACATCGCAAGCTGTCATTTCTGCTGGTAGAATGCCCACTCTGGGCGACGCCACGGATCGTAGAGTTCTGGGAAGTCCCTCAAGGGTTTCGGACGTCCTCTTGAGCAGTTCTCTAGACCTTCCTTAACGAAATCGGTTCCGATGTCAATCGATCTTTGAATCGCCTGCAATTTATTATTTTTTTTTCGATTGGTATGACACGGAGAAATTGGTCTAGAAAACGAGGGCACACCATTCAGTGTCACAAACGGAGATGTACGAGCCACTGGCGCCTTCTCATTGACCCCCCCCCCCCTTGCATCTGATAGAATACTATCGCGCCAATAAGGGAGGTGCAACCAAGACACTCCAAAACGTTGAGGCTTTGGATGAGTCAGTCAGTCATCATAGTCAATGAAACCCCCTTAGGAGAAGGACTCTGCGTTTTTTTCTTCGTAATCAAGAATCTGGCCGAATACTTTGAGAGGTTCCGAATTGTACCAATTTTTAATAGTTGCGTTTGGAATTATGTAGAGAACATTTACGGTAGCACTTAACGGAGTTGTTTCATGGCTAACGCGCCATGCATTGCCGCATACCACGAGGGCGGCGACTTCTTTAAGTCCTGTGTCGGCGCTTATTTCGGCGACGGAGAGGGGGGCATTTGGCACATTCCCTGCTGAACTATTTCCGGTTTCCAGGTCTCACACTGGTGAAACCTGTGAACTCTTGTTAAGCTAGAATAGGCTTGTTCATGACAAAACCTGTCCGCTTATGAAATAGCTGCTGGACGCTATGAAATAGCTGTCTGTAGGTAGCAAAGTGCGGAAGTGGCCTCCCCCCGACGACTGCGCCGTCCTTTGTCCATGTAAGCAGATGCCTTAATAGGTTCAGAAAGGCCAACAACTAGCTACGGACCCTTTGAACTGCACACTCACTTGATAATTTATTTTCTTGAATTTGGTGATTGGGCATTAAGCTGGTTGAGTGCGTCGAGTTGTTATAATTATATCAGATTGTGATGTTACGCTCTGATCTATCTAATAGGGAAATTGGACTCAGAGTTGGTTTTGCAAGTGACTCTCGGCTTTCCACACCCCCCCAACACACACACACACACACACCAGGCACAGCACAACCTAATTCGGAACAAACTCAAAGGTGTTTTCTGGGAGGCAACGTTACTGCCATAGCATTAGATATCTCCAATATTCATATTGGGTAGAGGCGGCATCTACATCAGCCTCTGAGGTGAAATGTTTAATTTCTATCAACGGCCGCAGTCGGGATCGAATCCCGAATCGCTATCCGCGCAGACCAAGCACTTTCTTCCACTCTCACTGAGACACATGGTATCAGAATCTGTTACGACGAGGATAAGACACGAACTTCATGCCTCGGCATAGCTTCCCTCCTCCTCCCACAGCAAAATAATTGGCTAAGCAAATATCTTGATACAAAAATCAATACGGTTTTCATACGGGAATAAGAAAGCGCATACACAAAAAAAGGGGCAAAGTCCACTACCGTGGGGTGCAATTCATTCTTTGCGGCAGCGGTCACACCAGCGTTCACGAGCGCTCCGGCAGCAGTCAATACAAGGAGCATCATCTAGATGATAGATCTACCCCCCCGCGTCTGCCACACTTTACTCAGCAAGTGTAATGCCAGTCTCGCCCGCCCACGCGTCTTGAGGGATAGGAAGTAATAGATACATCTCGATCTAACACGTATTGGTGAACGACTAGGAGAGTATGGATGTCGATCTAGCGTCTGCCAGCTTACTCCAGCGTCTACTGCCGTTCGCCAGCGTCTCGAGGGCTATGGAAGTATAGGTGATCGATCTCGTCTGCCAACGTATTGCAAGCGTGCACCAACGTCTGCCAGCGTCCGGAGAGGAGAGTATGGCGTGATAGGAGGGTAGCAGATACTTGGTACCCTCCTATCGCGCTATACTCTATCAGCGGTCTGCCACCCTCCTATCTCCCCATACTCTACCAGCTGTCTGCTACCCTCCTATCGCGCCATACTCTCCTCTCCCGGACGCTGGTAACCGCTAGTGCACGACGGACGCTAGACCAATATCTACTCTTTCGTAGTCGCTAACGCTGCCGGACGCTCGAAACGCTGGTGGACGCTATTGGTCGCTGATGGAACGCTGCCGCAAATTGTGAACGCAGCCTAAGCACCACCCTCTATCCTTTTGGAGCATACTGTTCTGCTCTTCTGTTGTGCAGAGGCGTGTGAAAGGCTAAAACGTAAAAATTCACCTTCTTCCAACAATTGAGTGCTTCCATACCGCCCCTGTCAGCGAATTTTTTATTGATCCAAACTGGATTAAAGTATGTGCTCTCATAGTTCTTACCCGGATCGCCAATAACTGTGACGATAGTAAGGCGACCTTTGATGTCTTTTCTATTCCTGCAATCGAACCAGTTCAATATGATTTCTATTGTTAAGAGTTCTACAAAGCAATCAGTGAACGCCACGGTAGCGTTCAAACTTCGCGATGACGCGCGTCAACGCGCTGCCATTGCAATAGAGTCCTAATGGTAAAGACGCATATCGATTGCAGCAGGCCGGTACGCGCTGCCTGATCACACGTCTCATGCCCTCCTATGCTTCTATACTCTCCCAGAGCCTTAGCGGACTCCGCCGGTCGATACCAGTCTGCGGTTGCATTGATAATGCGTCAACCCGCATCATCGCCAAGTCTGAACTCTGCCTACGATGCAAGCTCTGAAACTGTAAATTCGCTTCAGGACAACCGTAGAGCGAAATACAAGATAGAGTAAGGAACTAGCGAAACGACACCTACTTGAGCTGATAGGCCTTGTAAAGAGCTACAAGGAAGTCCAGGGCAGCTGATGGTCCTCCCCCAATCTTCCTTTCCCGTAGAACATACATAGAAGCCGCTGTAGCGATATCCGGCATTTTCATTGCTTCGTCAATAACACCACGGTCAAGGCTAGAAATAATTAGGTAATTAAAATAGTAAGGCGAAAATTGTGAAGATGCTCTACCTGGTGGTTGATCGATAATTTAGGGGTTCCACATATAAACCGTAGCCTGTTCCCTCAACACCTGGTTTCTTCCAAAACTCGTAGCCACTCTTGTTTACAAACCTGAAGACGAAGAGAAAAATTTACAGGTCAGCAAAACAAAAACGGTTATTTTCGGCGTCAGGGCACACTTCCATGAAACCAGTAACATGGAGTTGTCATAAAGTAAGGCTGCCTTTATACTTTGCGGCAGCTTCCACCAGCGACGAATAGAGTCCACCAGCGACCATCAGCGTCTTGAGGGACTAGGAAAGTATGTATATCGACCTAGCGTCAACCAATGTCCACCGGCGACCTGAAGTAGAGAGTATGGGGAAGTATGAGGGGGCGGACAGCTACATTAAGTGTCGAAAGATTGTGCAGCCGCACCGTTCTACTACCAGTAAATACCATACTCCTAGTCGCCGATGGACGCTAGTAGACGCTGACAGACGCTAGATTAATATCCATTTTTTCCTACTCTCTCGAAACGTTGATGGTAGCTGGAAAATGTTGAATGCTGGTGGACCCTGGTGAACGTTGGTCCTTTCCTCAAGGCGCTGATGATTGACGGCGCACTCTGGTGGACGCTGGTAGACGGTGGCAGACACTGCTGCTCGCCTGATCAACATTTCACACTTTCGTAGTCGCTGACGCTGATGGTCGCTGGTTGACGCCGGTGGCCGCTAGTGGACGCTGCCACAGAGTATGAGCGCAGCCTAGAAGTCTCACACTCAGGAAATAGCAATTAGTAACCCACCTATTCGCAATGACATAGTCGAAGTAAAGGGAATATTCAGAATCGGCTAGAACGATAGTGGTGTTCAGATTGTATCGTTTTGTATACCGTGCCACAGATGTGATTGTACCACCTGAAACAACTCCGAAGGGAGAGAATTCACCATTTCTGTTAGATGAAGGGAGAGAATTCACCATTTCTGTTAGACTTCTGTTTGGCTAGTAATTGTTAATAATATTAGTAATTCCTACATTTTTTTCTTTTGCCAAACACTAGCAGTTTTTTTCACTCGTAATTGGTAATTGTTTGCATTACCTGTACCAGCTGCATGCACAAGTAGTCGGGCAACTTTCTTACATTGTTTCTGTTTTTTACCAGTCTGTTTTCGGATCTCGTGGAATCATATTGTGCTTCAAATGCCAAAGGACCCCACCTGAAAAAAAGTGAACGTACATAATTTTGCATACGCCAATCACTGTCAGAGACTGAGTTTGGCAGAACGCCAGCTAGATCCCTAGGGCTGCGTTCATACTTTGTGGCAGCGTCCAACAGCGACCTCGAGAGTTTCGAGCGTCTGTCAACGTCAGCGCTAGGAAAGTGCAGACGTCGGTCCAGCGAATGGCAGCGTCCATTAGCGACCATTAGCGACTCGAGAATGGATATCGATCTAGCGTCTATCAGCGTTCGCCAGCGACCACCAGCATGCACCAGCGACCAGAAGTACGGCCACGTTTCACGACGCCTGATCCGCTGTCTCCTCCCCCCTCTTCCTCAATCTCTATCAGCAGTCTGCTAGCCTCCCACGTCCCCATATCTCTATTCCTTTTCGCTGGTGGACGCTGGTAACCGCTGAATCCCTAGTCCCTTTCCTAGTCCCTTAAGACGTTAATGGTCGCTGGCGGATTTCCTGGACACTGGCTGACGCTTTTAGAGTCTGCCCTTCACTATATCTACACTTCCTAGTCCTTGACGCTCACGGATGCTTGGAGCCCTGGTGGTCGCTGGAGGACGCTTCCGTGGAGTATGAACGCAGCCTAACGATGTCGAAGATTGCTCGTCTGACCTTTACGACACATTAATGGAGAACAAGCAAAGCTACTGTTTCTAGAAGTTGATCGGAGGTATCTAGTAACCCTACCCCTCTTGTGACGGTGCAATTTCAGACAAAGTTCTCGAAAGGGTAGGCCATTGTGGAAGGGGTTTGCCGAAGCCAGGGAAGTTTGAGAAGTAATACTGTTACTCCGCTAATTCACAATTTTAGACAATGTAGCCTGAGTTCATTGAGTCAGTCAAAGGAAATGGGGAAAGGAGGGGAGGTGGAAGTGACGACATGGCTATGTCTTGTCACACCATGCCACGTTTTTCCAAAACGTTGCAGTGGGAATCTACGTCGCCTTCCTGCCTGCAATCGAAATCGTACCTGAAATATACCTGGCCCCACCTCGAGGCTATTCTGCAACCCATTCGAACGAGGGAGCGCAGAAGATCAGTCAACATCGCACGCGTCGGCGCTCCGCTCCGAGTGTTGTATGCCCCATTCTTCCAGCAATTCTGTAAAAGTTCTCGAAAGCTGGACTTACTGTCATGATACTCTTCGGCCTCTTGAGCATTACCATCTTGATTCATGAAAAACCCATTGTTCTGTTCCGCCAATCGTTTGGCCGTACCAAGAACTTCCGATTCGTCTACCTTGAGATCTTATGATCATTCTAAGCACTATA